TCGATATGAGACAGTGCTCAATCTGAAATGACGCTCAACTAGAAGTAGCACATGCTGTGAGACTGCTCGGCTCGTGGCTTATGTTGCCTTGGTTGGCTCGGCTTGCGGCATTTAAAGGTGAGGGAGTCCCTTTTATAAAACAAGGGCTCGCTCCTCAATACATAAGTAATGGGCTAGGAGTGATGCTCGCGGCGAGACGGTTGCTCAGCTGGCGACGTTACTCTCTAATGACGGTGAGGGAGTCCCTTTTATAAAACAAGGGCTCGCTCCTCAATACATAAGTAATGGGTTAAGTTCCCCAAGTATTTTTTATGAGGCCCAGTTGAGGCCCAATATATGGTACATAATGTAGTCCCCCAAGTCTTCGGTCAATAGAGTCTTTTGGCTGGAGACTTGAAATTCAGTCCATGTATGGGCCGAAGTAGCGGTTGTTCGGAGACGGTATTTGTATACCCTGCACTGAAGCTTTGTAGGTGAAGCTTTGCAAGTGAAGCTTTGAAGCTAGAGTTCTGTAAATGAAGCTTTCGAAGTTGGAGCTTTTATAAATGAAGCTTTTGAAGCTGATTGACATAAGTGATGCTCATGAATGTTTATGTTGATTGACATGAGTGATGCTCGTGAATGTTTATGTATGATTTGTCATGAGTGATGCTCATGAATGTTTATGTATGAATGACATGAGTAATGCTCATGTATAATTTGAAGTACTAGGCGTACTTTTGATCACCTGGTTGGTGGCATGAAGGAGAGTACGGGTTGTACATTTCATCACCTGGTTGGTAGCATGAATGACTAGTTGCCAAATTAGAGTACGGGTTGTACAACTCATCACCTGGTTGGTGGCATGAATGACTAGTTGCCAAAATTAGAGTATGTGTTGTACATCTCATCACCTGGTTGGTGGCATGAATGGCTAGTTACCAAATTAGAGTACGGGTTGTACATTTCATCACCTGGTTGGTGGCATGAATGGCTAGTTGCCAAATTAGAGTACGGGTTGTACATTTCATCACCTGGTTGGTGGCATGAATGACTAGTTGCCAAATGATATTAGAGTACGGGTTGTACATTTCATCACTTGGTTGGTGGTAATAACGGCGGGTTGCCGAATAATTGTGGAGTACTGGGCGTACTTTTGATGGCCTGGTTGGTGTTATTTTGGGTTTATGGGCCTTCGCCCTCCACAACATTCCAGCCCATTTATTTTGGGCTTTGCCCTTTTTTTTTTTTTTTTTTTTTTTTTTTTTTTTTTTTTTTGTACCCTCTGATGGGGTTTATACATATTACTCTTTGATGGGGTTTATACAGATGTTTCCGAAAGATACGAAAAATAGATTACATCATTCAAAAATAAGGAAAGTAAACCACATGACTCTAGTGGGGTGTTTATTCCTTGCTTTTGCAGTACGGGTCCTTGCGTTTGCTTGTGTTTTTCTACAGCATTCTCTCTGTTTCTGTCTTTGCGTTGCCAGAGATCTGGCTTCCACTTGGTGACGCTGTTCCTTTCCGCTTTGGAAAGTAGACAGCTCCTGTTTGTAAAAGCAAGAAGATACCGTTTGTAAAAGCATCTTTTCCTTTTGCTTTTTTCTTTCACTTTGTTTCCCACTACTTTTCTCTTTTGCTTTTTGTGCTGTCATCTGCTGCTGGGGATCTGAAAGTGTTATGCAATGGGCATCTTCTCAATGGGAGTGACAAAGCATCATCGTGGCCTTGGTGTGCCATCATCGTCACAGCAGTGCTTTACAGTAATGGCTCTAGCTAAAGCATCAAGGTCTTCAAGCAGTTTCCCAATTCTGACCTCATTCCAAGGATCCCTGTACTGCTCCCGCAATATATAATCCGTCGAAAAATTGCACAGAAACTTGACCCGGACCTCTCCAGCCTGCGGCGGAGCCATCTGTACGTCTTCGATCACCAACGGCTTATCGGGTTCCCAGGCCATCGCTGCTTTGTTGGTGACGACTTGACCTTGGGTAACCATGGATTTGAATCTACTTGTCGAGCTCCTACCATTTATTGAGAATCTGGGTGCAGCCTGACAAGGCTTCGGTCCTCATGAAACCCATAGCATTGGCAAACCGGTTGTACGAAGCAATACCATTGTTGGCGGTGAGGATGACACATGCATACCATTATTGGCGGTGAGGATGATCTTCCATGGTTTGTTCACCATTTTCTAAGGTTTGTGAAGCTCACTCACTGTGTGTTGATCGTGATGCGTACGGGATTCGGCAAGGTCGCCTACTATTTTCTTCACGGAGGCGGATGAGGCCATGGTTGCCTTAGAAAAACCACTGGCCCAGGTGGAGGCCCGTTTTGAGCTTTATCAGCACATTTGTTTTCTCTTTCTCTAAAAGCTGTGTAGGTGATTTCTGACACAGGAAGGAAGGAATGAAGGGCTGCAGTGTGCGTTCGAGAGTCCAAGAGAAGTAGAGAGAGAACTGCGGTGGGCTCACGGTATCCGAATGTCACCACTTTGCTGCTGCCTTTCCGTTGCTATCGGCCGAGACGAGTGTGCACATTGCTATCTGGGCTCATGGATGGGACTTTCGCTGGGCAGAGAGGAACAAAGAGCAGCCGTCTAGACCTTGGGGGAGTCGACAGCAGCAGGGAGCGGAGAGGGTCTCTCTTGCTGCTCTCATGATCTCCGGCTGAGCCGCAAGTGGGAACTGCCGTGCCATGCTCGGGTCGCTGCTGCTGGGACCCGGTTCTCCTCCACTCGGGCCGGCTTGCTGCTTTAAATCTGACGGGGGTAGGTGGCATGGATGGCGCTGGTGGCAGCTGCTGGGCGGGACTCGACTTCCCAGCCATGGATGCAAAGGACGTGTCGCCCGTCGGTCAACGGCTCAGCTTCGGTGGCTTTCAGCTCCTCTCGATTGCTCTGCTGCAGCAACAGATCTCCGTCTCCTTCGTCAACAAGTATCCATTTTTGTCAACAGATCTCACTCCTCGCCGCCGGTCCAGCGCCGTTGCTCTCCACACCGTTCGAGGACGACAAGTCCTCCATTTCTGTGCTGGATATGCAGGCGGAACAATCCGACGACGAAGACGACTTGGCGTCGCCGTCGCAGTCACCGGAAAAAATTCAGGCGAGCAGGAGGAGCAGAGAGAGTGGAGATCGTGGGTTCCTGCAACAGAATCTGAGAAGATGGCAGAGTTGATGGAGATCTTGATGGAGATGGCAGACTCCGGCGGAGAAGACTTTGGGGCAGCTGCTTCCATGCGCTAGGACTGGTTCCCTCCTGCTCTCAACACTTCAAGACCGGTGAGCTTCCCGAGCTCCAATGAGATCGACCCGGTTAACAGAGAGCTTGAACTGAGGTCGACGACTGGCCGCAATGAATCGCGGGTTCCGGCGATGGGAAAGAAGCGGACTCGGTTTGTTTTGGGTCAACGAAGCGGACGCTTGGATTCGTCGGAGTACCTCGTTGTGGATCTCTAGCTTCTGCCTGAATCTGCATGGCTGTGCCTGCGATGACAGCACCGCTTGGCTGCCGCGGCTCTCCACGTTCTCGTCGACAGCCATTGAAGAGCTCGGAAAAAGTCTGCTACTTCCCCTAATCTTTCTCCAGGAGCTTTTGGACACGTGTGAAGGTTAAGGGAGAAGTGGAGGTGTTTTTCCATGAGCTTTTGGATGTTGTTTTTTTGTAATTTGGATGTTGCTTTTACAAGAACAGAGAGGGATGGAAGAGCACAGGTGTTGGAATTTGGATCTTTTCTGTTGATAGGTTTTTGCAGATTTTGCAGATTCACAGTGGTGAAATTTGATGAAAAAATAAAAGAGAACCGACATAGTTTTTTGTATCGATTCCCACAGACGGCGCCAAATGTTGATGCACAAAACCGGATGGTCTTGGTACAACGTAAATCCGACTGTGAATCTGCAATAAATGTAAATAACACAAGATGTATCGTGGTTCACCCCAAGATTTGGGCTACGTCCACACTGATTGTATTATATTTATCTGTTGAAGAGGGAGAGAGAGCTTAGAGCTTAGGGGATGTGATGAGGCTTCAGAAATGGCCTCTGAGAGTGAGAGTGAGGCCTCCCGTTTGTGAGGGTGAGGAGGCCCTTTTATAGAATAAGGGCTCCTCCCCTAATTACATATTTGCCCCTTCCTTTATTACATAATTACATTTAAGTCCCTCGAGTATTTATACGAGGTCTAAATACGAGGCCCTAAATATGGTATAAACATGATTATTTATTTTTTTATTTTATAAATAATTTATTTTTAATTTCAACGTGGATGACACGTGACACCTAGTCATTGTTCACATGGGCACCACGGTCATAGTTAACCGGAGACTTAACAGTTTGACTAATGGATGTATGAAACTGTCTCAAAATTTACCCTTTAGGTATGATTCTGAGACGAAAAAAACTTGATGTACTAAATGTTGAAAACCACGAAACATGATGGTAGTAAACAATTTTTTACCCTTATTATTATGACTAGTTGATGACATTTTCAGTTGATTTACTGACTAGTGCTTGCTAAACATGGTTAGTGAAATCTGGTCACAACTCTCGCCAGTCATTAGCTTGTCACGACTCTTCCTTGATTACTTGCTAATTTTGCTGCCATTCTCAACCGATGATATCAGATCAATTCAAATTAGCAATTGGTGTAATTTGATAAGGAACACCCTCGCTTAATGTCATGTTCAAATCTCCATCCAGTTTCTTCCTATCTATTTATAAGTCTTACCATTTCTTAATTGTGAGCCTCATTGGACTATATTTTGCATGGGCATGGAGATACGTCAGACACGTTTTATGTGCCCTGCTGCTGTAATACGAGTCTGCTGTTGGACGCATAGCATCGGCCAAAGAAATTGGTATCCTTATTTTTATAATTAAGACTCCATTATTGAAGGATTAATTATACCATGTTTTAATTTCATCGAATCTGAAAAAGATTCTCAGAGAAATAGAGGAGAGAAATCCATCAAGCTAGGATAGTAAGCAGTCCTAAGAAAATTCCAAATGCAATTAATTAGAAGGACTTTTGATTTTCATAGTCTAAGTTGGGTTTAGTATCGACATTAAGCAGTCCAGCATATCTTTTGAAATAACCAATCCAATCATTCACTCGTGCATCGTTGGGTATTCCACACTCTAGTCCACCGTTGATGATGTTAGTCACCAGCCCAAATCCAACAGTCCGATTGGCCGCAACGTCAGCTTCTGTGGGTACATACAGTCCAACCATGACGTCATGAGAAGAAGGCTTCGGCTTTTGCTCGGTCATCTAGAACCATAGAGCCGTTTTCAGTGCTATCATGGAATTGTTTGCCACTACTTCAGGATTCTTCAGCCCATCAAACCCCAACGCCTTGCCAGCAGGTCCATAATTATAGTTCCTATGATCAATTACCAAGTTAGATTAATTTTAAAATTTTCAACTTGTCAAAACGTTATAATATTTACTTGTCAATACAATATCGTAACCAATTTATTACTAGAGGATTTGGACTATGCCGTTCATTGTCTGCCAATATATGTTAAAGTTCTAATTGAAGTGTTTTTAGTTGGATGAGAAGTAGGAATAAGGATAAGCTCAAAAACTCAAATACAATGGAGAGAAGATTATGATGGTGGTGCTCTCTGTTGAAACTTGCACACAGAGTAAAACTGCATATATTGCTTCACACGCACACACTGTGCACAACGGTTGGGTTACAAAGCATAATAAAAAGAGAATGATCTCTGCCACACATCTAGATGGACACAAGGAGATCTTCACACCTGTTACAAAACCCTTTTTACAATATGACCTCTACACTTGGTTTAATTACCAAAGTGAATACACAATTAGACATAAGACTTATTTACTTCTAATATTCATGTAAGCTCAATAGCTTATACACTAACACTCCCCTTTAAGCTTTGAGCTGATATAACTCCAAGTTTGTCCCTGAGATAGTTGAATCTGTCCTTTGGTAATGCCTTGGTGAAAATGTCTGCCACTTGTTCTTTGGTAGGACAGTAAACCAAGTCAATTATCCCTTGCTGCAAGGCATCCTTGATGAAGTGATATCTCCTATCAATGTGTTTTGTCTTCTGGTGAAACACAGGGTTCTTGGATATTGAGATTGCAGATGTGTTATCACACTGCAGAGGGGTTGCATCAACTTGTAACTCTCCAAAATCTTCCAGAACAAATCTGAGCCATATGGCCTGAGCTGTGGCTTCAGAAGCACTGATATACTCGGCTTCTGCAGTAGAAAGAGCAACACAGTGTTGTTTCACAGAGGCCCATGAGAACACTCCACTTCCAAAAGAAAAATGCATAGCCTGAGGTGCTTTTGCTGTCTTCAAGAGATCCTCCCCAGTCACTATCGCAAAAACCAATTAAGACTGCCTTCTTGCCTTTCTCATACTTCAAACCATAGTCCAATGTGCCCCTAACATATCTGAGCACTCTCTTAGCTGTTCCATAGTGTTTATTGGTAGGACAATGCATATATCTAGCTAATAAACTAGCTGCATACATTATATCCGGCCTTGTGGGCAGTGAGGTACAACAGACTTCCTACAATCTTCCTGTACTGCTCCTCATTTTGCTGCACCACTTCCATCATCTTTTACTTAATTTCTCAGAAGTAATGAGAGGTATGGAGACAGGTTTACACTCCTTTAGACCAAATTTATCCAATAAGGAAGAAGCATACTTCCTTTGATGGATAAAAATGCTAGTATCTGTTTGTATAACCCCCATCCCCAAGAAATGATGAAGTACCCCGAGATCTGTCATCTCATATTTATCTTTCATGTCTTCTTTGAACTCATCCAGCATCTCCTGGTTATTTCCAGTGTATACTATGTCATCAACATAGATAGAGACAATTAGGATATCCTTATCTCCCCTTGTCTTAGTATAAATAGTTGCTTCACTCAAGCTCTTTATGAATCCACACTGAGTGAAATAACTATCAATTCTCTCCATACCAGGCTCTAGGTGCCTGCTTCAATCCATACAGAGCCTTATACAATCTGTAGACTTTATCTTCTTTACCATTAATCACAAATCCTTCGGGTTGTTCAACATAGACTTCTTCCTGCAGTTGTCCATTCAGAAATGCAGATTTAACATCAAGTTGATATAATTTCCAGCTTCTCTGTGCAGCAAGAGCTATCAAAGTCCGAATTGTATCTAGTCTAGCAACCGGAGCAAAGGTCTCATTGTAATCAATTCCTGGTTTCTGCACATACCCCTTGGCAACTAGTCGTGCCTTGTTCTTTTGTACTGATCCATCCAAGTTCAACTTGGTTTTGAATACCCATTTCACCCCAATAACATGTTTATCACTTGGTCTATCCACCAATTCCCAAGTTCTATTCTTCTCAATCATGGTCAGTTCTTTCTTCCATAGCGTTTATCCAAGCTTGATCTTGAGCAGCTTCTTCGAATTTTTCAGGTTCCACAATACACAAATTGCACTGTGCCATAATATCATTTATGCTTCTCCATTTCACTGGAGTATGATCATAAGACTGAGGAAATCTCAAACAGATTCTTGAATGCTGCTTTCTTGTTCTTCAGTATGAGAGAATGTAGAGGAACTGGAGGCACAATCTTGAATCTCACCCAACCCATGTGAATTCTGAATGTGGGTCACAGCAACAGAGTTCTCTGAATGTTCCTTCCAATTCCAGGTCATAGTTTCATCAAAAACTACATCTCTTGAAAGAATTAACTTCTTAGTGCATGGATCAAACACTCTGTATCCCTTCTCACATGTAGCATATCCAACAAACACACATTTGACACTCTTAGCATCTAGTTTCTGTCTCATTTCAGATGGTATATGCACATAGCAGATTGATCCAAATACTTTTAGGTGACCAATTCCTGGTTTTCTGCCACTGTATGCCTCAAATGGTGTCAGATTATCCAGTGCTTTTGTAGGTGATCTGTTTAGAATGTACACTGCTGTATGCACTGCCTCAGCCCACAGAAAATATGGCATGCTTTTATCATGAAGCATTGTCTTGGCCATCTCTACAACTGTTCTATTCTTCCTCTCCACTACTCCATTTTGCTGTGGAGTATAGGCCATAGACAGTTGTCTTTGTATTCCTTCAGCCTCTAAGAATTGGTTGAATTCATTTGATACAAACTCACCTCCTCTGTCACTTCTTAGGCACTTTACTTTGAAACCACTCTGTAATTCTACCATGGCTCTAAACTTCTTGAAACAAGTTAGAGCCTCAGATTTTTGTCTTAGGAAGTAAACCCATGACATTCTTGTATAGTCATCAATGAGAAGCATAAAGTACTTATTCCCAGCAATTGATTCATTTTGCATAGGACCACACAAATCAGTGTGTATAAGCTCTAGAGGACTGCTTGCTCTCCAAGCTTTCTCTTTTTGGAAACCAATCACGATGTTGTTTCCCAAACTGGCATCCTTCACATACACCATCAATGTTTTCAAGCTGTGGAAGACCATGTACCATTTCATTTTCTCTGAGTTGTTTAAGGCTTCTGAGATTTAGATGTCCTAATCTCTTGTGCCAAATCCAGGTAGAATTTGAATCGGTGCTAGCTTTCAGAACAAGTTGGCTGTTTTTCCACAGAGAAAGGGGATAACATCTGTTTTCCTTCTTCTTAACTTTGATCACAAGATTATCAAGAGTAGGTCCATCAAATACACTACACAAGCCTCCTCCAAACAAGAGATAGTATCCATGCTCATCCATTTGCCCAACGCTCAGTAAGTTTTCCTTTAATCCTGGCAGATGCATAACCTCCCTGATATACTTCTTGCCTCTATTAGTGTCTATTTCCAATGAACCCATTCCAGCAACATTCACTAACACACCAGTAGGCATTTGCACTTTTCCAGCAACATTTGTTTTTTATGTCAACAAGCAGATTAGCATCTCCTGTCATGTGGTTACTACAACCACTATCAATATACCAGTTTCCATTGACATTTGACTCTGAGATCGCACTATTAGCATAGAACAAATTCCCTGTCACTTCCACCTGATTTGCAGAGTTTGCCTTTTGCACAGTCTTCCCTACAGTGCATTCTCTAGCCCAATGACCAAATTTATCACAATTATAACACTTAGGTTTCCCCTTATATCTACATTCACCAAAATGGAATTTGGAACACACTCTACACTGTGGTTTAACTGCATCTTGCTTCACATACCCAGAAGAGTTTGAGTTCTGTGTAGGATTAGTGAATGACCTCTGTTGAAACTTAGGCTTAGATTCCCATTTCTTTCCCTTCGAATTCAAGTGCTTATAGGATTTGAATGTACCAGATTGAGCATTTCCACTGGTTTGTCCTTTTGGACTCACAGAGAATGAGGCAAAAGCATTTTCAGTGACATCAACACTATGCAAATCAAATCGTTGTTCTTGACTCTTCAAAATTGCTACAACCTCCTGCAGTTCTACAGTTTCTAAGCACTTGGTATTTTCAATAACTAGACATATGGGATCATATGGTTTATTGAGACTAATGAGAACTTTTTGTACAAGCCTTTCATTAGACAGAATCTCACCAAATGTTTTCATCTGATTGATCAATTCATTTAGCCTAGTAAGATACCCAGACAGAGTTTCATCATCACGCATCCTAGCATACTCAAATTCACGTCTCAGATTTTGTAGTTTCACAGATCTTACCTGATCACCACCATGGTACTCACCATATAGCAGATCCCATGCCATCTTCGCAGAATCTGCATTGGCTATTCTAGGGAATATCTGATCTGAGACTGCGTTCTGGATAATACCCAGAGCTTTTGCATCCTGCATATATGCTGCGACCATTTTCTCATCGTCTTCTTCTTCTTCTGAGCTTCCTTCAGCCTTCTTCTTCTTCTTTGTTTCTGAGATCGTAATCCCTTTTTCAACTAATTTCCATAACCCATGAGATTTGAAGATCGTCACCATCTTGATTCTCCAGAACTCGTAGTTCTCATCGGAGAAGATCGGAGTTCTCACCTCAGAACTTCCAGATCCAGCCATCTTCGAGCTTTGATGATGCGAATACAAATCGAAATCGAGTTTTATGGAATTCCGGCAATGTCGCTCAATCTGAAACGAGCTCAAGTGTAGCTCGATTGATTTTTACGCCCAGATCTCAAATGATCGAACCAGGCTCTGAGGCCATGTTAAAGTTCTAATTGAAGTGTTTTTAGTTGGATGAGAAGTAGGAATAAGGATAAGCTCAAAAACTCAAATACAATGGAGAGAAGATTATGATGGTGGTGCTCTCTGTTGAAACTTGCACACAGAGTAAAACTGCATATATTGCTTCACACGCACACACTGTGCACAACGGTTGGGTTACAAAGCATAATAAAAAGAGAATGATCTCTGCCACACATCTAGATGGACACAAGGAGATCTTCACACCTGTTACAAAACCCTTTTTACAATATGACCTCTACACTTGGTTTAATTACCAAAGTGAATACACAATTAGACACAAGACTTATTTACTTCTAATATTCATGTAAGCTCAATAGCTTATACACTAACAATATAAACTAACAATTGTCTGCAGGTAACTGTATCTTTATATATATAACTGTGAATGTGATGAATCAAGTTAACTTATCAAGATAGTTGAATGGGGCCTCTTCCTTTGTAGGACTTGCTCGGAGTCACAGTAGTCGCTCTGGGGACTGATTTCCTTTTTGAAGCACATTCCCCATGCATATGGTCCATCTGGGGCAGTAGGCCGCCCACCTGTTGTCTCGTGAGAAATCTGAGCAAGAAAGGCAACAATCTCACGCTTGCGCATGGTTAAACTTACGGTGGTGCCAAATCCGGGGAAGGATTTGGAGGCTTTGATGAAAGAGCGGTAGGTATAGAAGTCTTTGGCAGGGCATGCGGTGTCATCCTTGTGCTTGTGCAGAAACAAGGTGTGGAAAAGCTGTTTGGTGATCAAAGACGAAACTGGAAGACAATCGCCGCGAGCAGCCTCAGCTCCGGATGGTGCATTAGTAATGGAGAAAAGATTGATGGCAATGCAAAAGAAGGCGAATGAGACGAGGAAGAAGGAAGAGGGCAAGTTGAAGAAGAGTAGTGCCATGGATGAGGACTTAAGGATTTAGGTGAAGGTGCATGTCCCTGTGAATTTGCTTGAGTACATACATATAAATATAATGTACAGAAGATGAGAATTCTATTTTATGGGGTTTTTGAACTTTAATCCCTCAAGAAGATTAAAATTTAAAAAAAATCTGGTGTTAGATTAAATATTGATTTTAGTCCCTAATGTGCTCTTAATTCAAAATAATTAATGTGCATTTTATTTAATGTCTTCCATTAAATATTTAAATTTATTAATACACAAAATTTAATTTATTTTTTGACCAAAAAAGAGTTTTTTAATTTATTAATTTTATTTAACATTCTTCAAACTTGAAAGACTCAATTAATGTACCTAAATGTTAGTACCGAAATATATTATATTGAACTAATATATTTAAATGTTAGTACCGAAATGTATGTACCTAAATATATGCACCGAAATGTATTAATATTAAATTAATGTACCTAAATATATGTACCGAAATGTATGCACTGAAATGTTAGTACCGAAAATGTATTATATTGAATTAATGTACCTAAATGTTTGTATCGAAATGTATGTATCGAAATGTGTGTACCTAAATGTATGCACCATAATGTATTATAATGAATTTAATATACCTAAATGAAGAAGATAAAGTACATCAAAATATATTGTATTACAAAAATTAGTTTATCTAAATGTTCACAACAAAATATATTACGATGAATGAAATGAAAATAAAAATTATAATGAAATAAAATTAATACATTAAAAATTAGAAAGAAAAAGATAAATAATTAAAAAATCAAAATATAATTAATAAATGAGGTTATTAATGTATCAAGGGACTAAAATTAGATTTTGATCTTACTCATGGTTTTAATCAAAAAATCATCTTTGCCAAGGATTAAAATGAAGTTTTCTATTTTATATATAATATGAATTAATGTGCCGGCCTGGCCATATTATAATTAGAGTAAAGTTAGAGAGACTAAATTTGTAAACTAAATTGGCAAACCAAATGAGGTGTCACCAATAAAAAATGAGCACGTTTATCAACGATTAAGTAATAATCCAATTAACAACTTCCATGTCATTTAGTTTACAAAATTTAGTCTACAAATTTAGTCTTCCTGACATTACTCTTATAATTATAATTTCTTTTTTGAATTTTGTAATGGAAAGGCAACGAAGGAAGAAGAGGAAAGAGTCAGTGGTATGTAGTGAATTCGGATCCTCACCAAAAGGATTCGGAGAGGATCCTGTTGGGTATGGAATTCAGAACCTTGCCAGATCCTCTTTGTGAGGATCCCAGAAATCCGTGAATCGTATCCGTTCATCGTACATCGTACGGTCAGAAATCATTTTAAATATTTTTATTTAAAATTAAACACAAACAATACTTAACAAAAACTGACCGCACGATATACAATGAACGAACACGATTCACAAATCCCTAGGATCCTCACCAAAAAGATACGAAGAGGATCCTATTGGGTATGTAGTGGGATTACATTTAAGCAAAGGACAAGTAAAGTCAGAGGTCAAAACTTAAGTCTTATGTGATTAATTTTCTAAAAATCACCCTAGGCTTTAGGGTAAATCGTTTTGAAAAATTGGCCCGGAGCTAGGCAGCACCTAGGCGGTTCTAGGCGGATTTGGTTTTTTTATTTTATTTGTGCTTTTTTTATTTTTTAGTTTCATGGTGGTATACTTATGGAAATGGTGTACCTAATTTGCAAAGGATGGATTGACTACAAGTTCATCCAATTGTGAAATGAATTGGAGAACTTTTGAGGCACTACTACAATATTAGTTTTAGGTGTCGGACGCTGGTGGCGGTTATTAAGCCATTCTGACGAATAAAAGATATCCAACACATAATTTATTTAGTGTCGGAAAAAAGTTAATTTCTGTCGGATATATCCGACATAAATTCCTGGCGGATTTAACCGCCATAAAATTATTATAACCCTTAGTATTTTTGAATTCTTTTTTTTTTAATATTTTTAACATACTCTGGTGGTTTCTAAGTTAATGGTGGCAGTTATAATCGACATAAATTGACTATTTTATTATTTTAGTTTCGAGCGCTTATTATTTTAGTATTCTGACGGTTATAACCGACATAAATTGACAATTTTATTATTTTAAAGTCTTATATTGATTATAAATAAATAAATAAATGGTTCAAATATTTTTTTTTTCACTCACGGTTGCGTTACCTAATCTCTGAATGTTTTTTTTTTGCGATTTTTTACACATGCTATCTCTGAGTATATACAAACATATTTGACGGTTGGATCGTTGAAATTAGTTTCGTAAAATGCATATCCTATCAAATTGATAGATTTAACAAACACTTAAGAGTTAATGTTATACTTTCATTAAGTATAAAAAATTATCCACTAGTGTAAATATATTAAATTGAAGATCGAATTCATTCAATGCATTCTTATAGGATCAATGAGTGTAACTGTAAAAAATCATCAAAATTGGAGCTAAAATAACCTTTAAATTGTGATTTTTCGTTTATAACCGTCGAAAACTTTTGTTATGTTACCTAATCTCTGAATGTTTGTTTTTTGTGATTTTTTAGGTATGCGATCTCAGAGTGTGTACAAATAAGTTTGACGGTTAGATCATTGAAAAAAATTTCGTAGAATGTGTATCAAGTCAAAACGGTATATTAAATAAACACTTAAGAGTTAATGCTATACTTCCAATAAGTATAAAATAAGATTTTGTGGTATCCACTAGTGTAAATATTTTAAATTGAAGATCAAATTTATTCATTGCATTCTTATAGGGTCGAGGAGTGTAGCTGTAAAAAATCATTAAAATCGGAGCTAAAATAAACCGTTAAATTGTGATTTTTCGTTTATAACCGTCAAAAACTTTTGTTCCGTTACGTAATCTTTGAATGTTTGTTTTTTATGATTTTTTACGTATGCAATCTCGAAGTGTGTAAAAATAATTTTGACGGTTGGATCATTGAAAAACGTTTCATATAATGCGTATCACATCAAAACAGTAGATTAAACCAACACTTAGAGTTAATATTATACTTTCATTAAGTATAAAATAAGATTTTGTGGTATCCATTAGTGTAAATATTTTAAATTGAAGATCAAATTTGTTCATTGCATTCTTATAGGGTCGAGGAGTGTAGCTGTAAAAAAATCATCAAAATCGGGGCTAAAATAACTGTTAAATTATGATTTTTCGTTTATAACCGTAAAAAACTTTTGTTCTGTTACCTAATCTCTGAATGTTTATTTTTTGTGATTTTTTAGGTATGCGATCTTAGAGTGTGTACACACAAGTTTGACGGTTAGATCATTGAAAAAAGTTTTATAGAATGTGTATCACGTCAAAACGGTAGATTAAATAAACACTTAAGAGTTAATGTTATACTTCCATTAAGTATAAAATAAGATTTTGTGGTATCCACTAGTGTAAATATTTTAAATTGAAGATCAAATTTATTCATTGCATTCTTATAGGGTCGAGGAGTGTAGTTGTAAAAAATCATTAAAATCGGAGCTAAAATAAACCGTTAAATTGCGATTTTTCGTTTATAACCGTCAAAATTTTTTGTTCCGTTACGTAATCTCTGACTATTTATTTTTTATAATTTTTTACGTATGCAATCTCGGAGTGTGTAAAAATAAATTTGACGGTTGGATCGTTGAAAAAAGTTTGGTAGAATGCATATTGCGTCAAAACGGTAGATTAAACAAACACTTAGAGTTAATATTATACTTCCATTAAGTATAAAATAAGATTTTGTGGTATCAACTAGTGTAAATATTTTAAATTGATTATCAAATTTGTTCATTGCATTTTTATAGGGTCGAGGAGTGTAGCTGTAAAAAAAATCATCAAAACCAGAGCTAAAATATCCGTTAAATTGTGATTTTTCGTTTATAACCGTTGAAAACTTTTGTTCCGTTACGTAATCTCTGAATGTTTGTTTTTCACGATTTTTACGTATACAATCTCGGAGTGTGTACAAATAAGTTTGACGGTTGATCATTGAAAAAAGTTTCGTAGAAGGCATATCATGTCAAAATGATAGATTAAAAAAACACTTAGAGTTAATACTATACTTCCATTAAGTATAAAATAAGATTTTGTGGTATCCACTAGTGTAAATATTTTAAATTGAAGATCGAATTTATTCATTGCATTCTTATTTATGTTTTTCAAATATTGATTAGTCAATATTTAGTTTGTGTGATGACATTTTTCATTGTACAATTATCTTTTTGTTTCTTTATTGCATATTTTACATAGGTTATTATCTATTAAACCAAGCAATTATTTATTTTCGACCAAATTTTTTTTTATTTATTTAATTTTAAAAAACATATTCTACTTAAATACATATTATTTATTTATTATTAAACCAAACAATTATTATTTTATTTTTTTAAATCGTAACAAAATTATGGGGGGAATTTAAAATTTTGGGAGGGAATTTTGGGGGTGAATTTTTCTGCCATTTTGTTCTGTCGGTTATAACCGACAGGAATGAAAATTTTCTGTCGGTTTATATTTTAAAAAATTTTCTGTCGGTTTTAACCGATAGTAATGACAATTTTCTTATACCCACATCCGGCCCCCACTCATCTCCTTCATTTTTCTGAAACCTAACTCTAACTCTTGACACACACTCTCTCTCTAAGCTCCGAGAATGAACCCCCACCATTCCTCTTAATTCTGACCAAATCAACCCTAAAAAATCTGAACCTCGAACCCTTGGGACATGGGGAATCAACCTGCAGCGTTGCATGTATCATCGATGCATCAACGTGTGCTCTGCTATTAATGTTGAGAGCTTCAGCTCTCTCGAACTCCATCTCAGGTATGAATTATTATCCCCTCTTGGTTGTGTGGGTTCTAATCCATCTGTGATGAGTATTATGACAAAAATCTCTGGGGTTTAATCTCTGTTTTGAATCTGTCGATATGCCCTGCTGCTGCTCTACCGAGATACCTAGGCCGGGCTT